GAGGTGGTATGTAAATGTGTCTTTGATGTAATAAACTCAGCAAGGAATTCGGCTTCAAAGGCTTTTCTCTGCAGCAGACCCGTTCTGCCAGACATTGTGTCTGCTAAAACCTTGAGTTCTTCGGTGATAAACGGCCATTTTGAGTACATCAAAGGTTCTTAGACAGTACTCAATCACAGGAGGTCTCTGTTGTATCCTGTTGTTATCTTTACCACTTGTAGATAATAAACAATGCTTTGGGGTAAGTGAATGGGTCACTGTTCTCTTGTAAACATGGCAGAATCATGTGGTGAYCAAAGTTTGGAGCATTAACATTCCACTCCAAGTTATTGCTACAGTTTTAAAGATTATCCGAAAGAATCGGTTTCTTAGAGGAAATGATCAAAAAGGGTTCACCCTCTCAAGACTGATTCAACCATTTGTTTACCTGTGGGGTCTTCTGTTATCTATGGATTGCAATGTTGCTAAAAGTAATAGAATCAGAAAACATTTTGTATGCAGGTCAGATATGTGCAGAAAATCACAAGCGGGCACATATCTGCAACTAAATAGTCCCTTTGTTGCTCCTGTTGAGGTCATCAGGTTTGTGATCTTCACAGCTTGGCCTAAAGTGTCTGTTAAATGATAAATTGTATTTTACTTAGATTTGTTTCTTTTGTGTTTGTTCTAAATTTCAGATTTCTGGAATCTTAAAGGATAATGAGAAGATCCAGTCAAACCCGGAGGTGCCCCCCAGTGAGGACGACACAGAGATAAAAAAGATAAAGAAGGTTGAACTCACCTCCAGTTTCGTCATTCATGTATGTAAAACAGATTGATCTTTACCTGCTAACACATGCTCCACCACAGGTCCAGAGTTTTTTGCGTGGCTGGATTTGCCGCCGGAAGTGGAAAACCATCATCCAGGACTACATCCGTTCCCCCCACGCCGAGAGCATGAGGAAGAGGAACCAAGTGGTGTTCAGCATGCTCGAGGCGGAGGCCGAGTACGTCCAGCAGCTTCACATCTTGGTCAACAACTTCCTGCGTCCGCTCCGCATGGCGGCCAGCTCCAAGAAACCCCCCATCACACACGACGACGTCAGCAGCATCTTCCTGAACAGGTGGCTGGAGGTTGGAGCGGTGAAGTAACTGTTGTGCTAAAAGACGTCAATAAGAGAATTTAACTGGTTTTTTTAATTTCTGTTTTTATTAGTGAGACCATTATGTTCCTCCACCAGATCTTCTACCAGGGTCTGAAGGCCAGGATAGCCAGCTGGCCAACCCTGGTGTTGGGTAAGAGGAGCAAAGACTCTCAGTCCGTTAAAGTTTGGGTTTATTGCTGGGTTTGCAGATGATGTAGAATCGATGTCATGAAATGCAGATGGGGAGCAGGAGGTAAATGAAGCCATGTTTCCTTCTGTTGATTCAGTGTCAAAATGCATAAATTCTGTGCTGTGTACAGTTGTTGCAGCCACTCTAATCAGGAGAAATATCAAAGTTTGTTCATGTTCTGAAAATAGTGTGTGACAAGGGAGTTAAATTTTAAAACTTGCAGAAAACATAGTACAAACAGGAGGTGCAGAAACAAACAATGCAATAGTTTGCAGTGACCACTTTCTAACAGGTCAGGATTTTATCGTTTAAATCATATTGTCAGATATTTTCCTGGATAGTTACTTCAATTTGGGTTTACAGAAGCTAAATACATTATTTGCAAGTAGATCCCAGCACATAGAAATAACAGCAGTTAACTTGTTGTTAGCGTTAGGGATAGCATTGTTATCATAGGCTAAGTACTTAAAATAGCACAACTCACCCAGGCAGAAACAACAACCATTTAAAGTGCCTGTGACATGCATATTCATCAAATACAAAAAGTCAAAGAAAATATTTTTATATTTCAGAAACAGCATAATACACATGATTTTATCCGTTATGTCTCATAATTGGCATGTTTCCTTTTGAATTTGGCTCAGCTAAAGTGAACCAGGAAGTGACATCAAAGGGGAACTCTTTAACAAAGAAAACTCTGTTTTTTTTTTGTTTATATAAACAAATCAGTTGATCTATGACTCTTTCTCATCTCTCTATGATAGTGATTAAAATAATCTAAAGAAATATTTTCTTTTTTACAGTGTGTGTTGTTAGCCGTTTTATCAACGCTCTGTTTACATTCAGACATTCCCCTTTGACATCACTTCCTGTTTCTTCACATGCAAATATCTCAACAACTGTTAATCTAGCAATGAGGAATCTTTTTTTTTTACAATATGTAATCAGTGTTATCTTTCCAAAAATACATTCATATTTGTTATAAAAATTTGAGGTCACAGGCACTTTAAAGTTTCTTTGGATCATAAATGTTTGACCCAACCTGAAACTAAATAATTGTAGCTTTGAGGCTTTTGAAAGCCTTCATTTGGCTCGTCGTAGCCTATAACATGAGGTCTACAGCACCAGATAGGAGTTTATGTTGATCGCCTCAACACCGGGTAAATCCTTCAGATTATATAACAAGTCTTTTTTTATTAAGATAATATGAATCATATCCTAAATGTACACATATTTTTTGCGATATCTTATCTGCGCTAGCTCATTTAGGGCATTAGCGTACTCGCTGTGATCCATTTCGCTGTGTTTTGAACCAGAGCAAATCACTTCCTGCTCCCCATCTGACATTTGTGATGAACCCAGGCTGCATTCAGGACAAGAAAGACAAACCTTTATATTCTAAATGTGGAGAGTTTAGAAAGCCTAGAAAACCAGACTTTGCTTTTCTTGATTAGTTTTTCCTTTTTTATATTTAAAACCTAAGGTAGTCCTTTAAGGAAAGGTACTAGTTGTAACATTTGACATTATTCAATAAACATTCATTTCAACAATAAAAATGAGACTGTAAAAATACTGCAGGTTGTTTAGTTTTTATAAATTAGAAAAATATATTGTCTATATTGTATATATTAACTTTGGACACTATGTGGCTATCAGCCTTTTTAAATAAATGATAAATAAAGTGCGGTGACAGAGAAGAGAATGTAGAAATGACTCAGACTGCAACTGAAAATGTTGACAGAAAACAGTATAGCTCCTTCAGGAAGGAGAAACTCAGCTTTAGCCTTTTAGCTTTCACATTAGCTCCTGAACTCATATATGTGGTGTTATCTCCTGAGCTAATGTATATATAGTGTTTTCACCCGAACTAATGTATATTTGAAGTTAGCTCACTAGCTAATATATGTGTGGCATTAGCTCCCAAACTAATGTATACTTAATGTTAGCTCAGAAGCTAACTCTTTGTGTTTTAGTCTCAACTACAACCCATCATCACCCTCAGAATGCATTGTGTCAGTAACAAAATAGCAAAGTGTTGAAGTGAAAAATGTAATAAACAGATGATTTTTAAAGTAATTAGGTGTTTCCGTGTGTCACAAACAGCAACCTTTAGTTAAATAAAGAAATAACAACATATTAAGACCAACATTTGAAAGTACATTGAGGTCACTTTAAGAATGCTGCCTTTTTTTTTCCCAGCTGACCTGTTTGACATCTTACTGCCCATGTTGAACATCTACCAGGAGTTTGTGAGGAACCACCAGTACAGCCTGCAGATCTTGGCCCACTGCAAACAGAACCGAGACTTTGATAAACTTCTGAAACAGTACGAGGCCAAGCCGGACTGCGAGGAAAGAACACTGGAGACGTTCCTCACTTATCCCATGTTCCAGGTTAGTTTTCGAGTTTGCTCGCTGTTGTCACTACTACAGAGGAAAGTTCAACCTTCTCCTCTCGCTCTCAGATCCCTCGTTACATTCTGACGTTGCACGAGTTACTGGCTCACACTCCTCACGAGCATGTGGAGAGAAACAGTTTGGACTTTGCCAAGTCAAAACTGGAGGAACTTTCTAGGTAGGTTTCCTGCCTTCATGCAGATCTGCTATTAAACCTGCCTGCTGAGTCCAAATCCAGCAAGAAATGTCTGTTAGATTTTGATAAATTTGTGTTTTTTCAGGTGGGATGATTGTGAGTTAGTTACACAGAAACAACACAAAATGTTTTTTGTTCCCCTCCAGGATCATGCACGATGAGGTGAGTGAGACGGAGAACATCAGGAAGAACCTGGCCATTGAGCGCATGATCGTGGAGGGTTGTGAAGTTCTTCTAGACACGAGTCAGACGTTTGTACGACAAGGTAAAAGAAGTTTGATGGATTGTGGATTTAATCCTGATTATTCTGATAATCCTAATGAAGTAGAAAAATACAAAAATTTTACTGACAAATGTTTATCTCATCAAAGATGCCAGTTAAATATTTAGTGATAAGTCCACGCTACATTAACTTTAACCATGGTTAATGAATGTTTAAATTGCTTTTTCTATAACTGTATTTTCTCCTGTTTGTCGTCTCAGGCTCTCTGATTCAGGTGCCGATGAGTGAAAAAGGGAAAATCACGAGAGGTCGACTGGGCTCTCTGTCTCTGAAGAAGGAGGGCGAGAAACAGTGTTTCCTTTTCTCCAAACATCTCATCATCTGTACGCGGGGGTCAGGAGGAAAACTTCACATCACCAAGGTACAGGTGTCTGTTTTATTCCATGATGAGTCCAGGAGCATTGCAGTTTACCTCAGAGGACCAGTTGTAATTACCTTTGGTGCTTCGTGTTTAACTTTGACTAAACACAAAACGTCATGTTCCTTGTCTGCAGTGGTGGGCTGCGCTAATTCAAAATTTAGTTGCGCAGTTTCTAAAGCGCTAGTCAATTTATTTAGGTATGCAAGTTCAAAAAAGCATATGCTCAAAAAAACTTAGCAGACACTAAACATAAAGCTCAAATCTGTATCCATTCACCAGAAAACATTCCAGTTACACCATAGGACACGTCAGCAACACAATACTGCCAACTACTGGAATGATAATTTCCATTCACAGATTGGCACATGTGCTCGCAGTTTGGGGAGGTGATTTGTTGAAACAGACTTTTGAGTCATGGTGTTAAAAAATATTTGCTGTGGATTGCTAGTTCTGCTGCTTCTTGGTCATTTTCTTATATTTATGGTAGGGCTTCAGTAAGAAAACATGCTGAGTTATTGTAATTTTAAACAGTTTATTGTAAAACTGAAGCAATGCATTCTGGGTAGGCTACAGGACAACAGGAACCAGTTAATTTCAAAATAAGAGCGTGAATTTAAACTACTTTGTGTGAGCTTCAATACGACGTGAGAGAGCGGGTTGGTGAAGATGCAGCGGGATTTAAATTATAATTACTCCCTCTATCCTCCCAAAGCTCATATAAGTATATAAACAACACTATTGATGGCTGGATATTGTTTATTTGTCACTTAGCTCCAATTGCTTCCTACCACGCTAAGAATTGTGGGGAAATGGTCACACAGAAGAAGAGTCAGTGAGAGTATAAAGCTCTGTGAACACAGTGCTGCCTGAAGGGTCGCTGTTGCCACACAGTGGAGCTCCATTGTGTTAACAAGAAATGGCTTTCCCCTCCAATGTTCAAGAAAATGATGATGAAACGTTAATGAAATATGCTTCAGAATGTAGTGGGTTTAGGCAGCTCTCTCCTTTTTCTTTAGACAATATTGACGATCAAACTTGTAACGTTTGCGATTAGCGCTACTCAATTCAAAATTTCGAAAGCGCAAATTGTCATTTGAAGAAATGAGGACAACCCCTAAAGCGCAAAAGAGAAATTTAAGTCCGCAATTAGCGCTTTTGCGGTTTAGGGGACTTGTGCCCACCACTGCTTGTCTGATTGCTATGGCTGAGCACTTCTAACAATAACTGAGTTCTATGTGGTATTTCCTGCATCAAAACAGGTATTTAAAACGTCTTCTTATAAACACTGAGAAGTACTACATGACGACTGAATAAATGCGAAATGAATAATGCAGAAATATTATTAAATGTAAAAGTAAGAGATTTTCACTCACTGTTGAGTTGTGGTGAGTAGCTGCCATCTTGGACTCTGAATTTTCCCACTTTCTGACAGAGGATTCCCACTCAAGGAGTGTTTCAGTTTAAATTTACAACTTGTACGTGGGAAATTCTCACTTCCCTGTACAACTGGGCCTTAGCAAAATAAGACTGTTTTTGAACCCTGTGCACCTCCACCTTATGGAAATCATCATTTTGTGGGTAAAATGATCAACATGCATTATGGTAGATGTCTATGGTCAATCCTGGCTTTAAAGCAGCTTTATTTGAAGACAGTAAAACATTTTTGAAGCTCTGTGGGCCACATAAAATGCCATGGCAGGCCACATTTGGCCTGCGGGCCTTGAGTTTGGTTTACATGTTCTATTACTACAGCCTCAGATTTAATTACGGAGTAAAAAAGTATTTCTTTTAGCCAATGACGGGCTGTGGTTTCTCAATCCCATGACAGAATGGAGTGGTGTCTCTCATTGACTGCACCCTGATGGAGGAGCCAGAGGGCACAGACGATGAGTGTAAGTTCCCCTGTACCTCACATTTATTTATTTATTGGATTTTAAAATATTGTCTGAACAAGTCAAATTGTATTTTACTGAGATGTGATGATTAACGATGTTACAGGTAACAAACTTATTTTTAGATTTTTATAAACAGTGTCTCAAAGTTGAGGTGTAGACATGGATGGAAAACACAATATACGAACCTTAAAAACAAATAAACAAGCAGACTTGGTAACAGAACCTAAATACTATGGAAAACCAACTGAAGGGTAAACAACAAGTGGCTGTGAGCTGGGAATGTTGGTCCTGTTGATTACTGGGATGAGGAGCTTGTGAGCTGAACGAGCAAATGAGGTGCAGCTGTGAGGTGCAAAGCTGAAACGTAAAGAAGCCAATGAAAAAAATTAAAACAACAACAACTAAAAAAATTAAAATTTGTGTCTGAATATTTATAATTCAACAACAAATAAACTCAAATTACTGGCGGGACTTGATAAAGCGCTATATAAAACAACGTCAAAGAGCATGTTGCATTGATTTTAGACTAGTGTAGTTTCTTTATGTAATAACTGGGCATCCATAGACTAACAGCTGTTTGGTTTTCATTGTTACCAGCTAAATGCACCACCGTCTGTTAACTAACTTTGTTTTTGTCATATGACATTATCTTCTTGTTCCTGTCTGAATAAATGAAGGCTGTTGACTTTGTGCCTTGCAGCCAAAGGAGAGCGGAGCGGCCAGGACTCAGAGCACCTGGACTTTAAGATCATAGTGGAGCCTAAAGAGGGCCAGCCTTACAACGTCATCCTTGTCGCTTCATCACGACAGGAAAAGTCAGCGTGGACTAGCGACATAAGTCAAGTACGTTCCCCCACCTGCAGGGTTGGGCACAGCTAACCCAAAAAGCTAGCTTCTCTAACATGTTTAACAAATAAAAAACTTTGCTGAACTTCTAAACATGCAAAAAGAACTTAGCGGAAGCTAATGCTAACAGCTCACCGCTAAGACGATTGTCTCTGTATCATCTGAAGACTGATGGGACTGACAACCTGTTTGTTAATTAGCTGTTAGCAGACTTAAAGTTGGCAAAACCTAGTTAAGCAGAAGCTAACCGGTCCGCTAATGGTTTTCAAAGTTGGTGACGTTGATCTACTAAAAGAAAAATTTGTTCCTATTAAATGATAGCTGATTTGTGGAAATGCTGCCCACCACTGCTCGCCTGTATACGTTTGTAAAAATAACGGTTTGGACAAAGAACCTCTCATGGTTTTGACTGCAACCTGTAATATCAACATGTTTCTGAGCTCGCTTTCTGTCTGCCTCCATCTGCCTCATAGTGCATTGACAACATCCGCTGCAATGGTCTGATGATGAACGCCTTCGAGGAAAACAGTAAAGTCACCGTCCCACAGATGATTAAGTAAGAGTCTGGCACCACGCAGCAATGCTCTTACATTATACATGCACAGTCAAAAACTGAAGACTTTAAAAAAGCACAAACAATTAAAGTGTACAGAAAGTGACGTTTATTTTACCACAGGTTCCACAGGTCCTTAAGCTTGAATCCAAACCATTACTAAACTCTAAACCAGGCCTCTGTACACAAATAATCACCAAAAGAACCGAGTACACACTCTGTGGAGCAACTGGTTCCTGGAACCCTAAATGTCTCTGCGTGTTTGTGACACGTCAACAGGTCAGACACCAGCTTGTACTGCGACGACGTCGACATTCGCTTCAGCAAGATGATGAACTCCTGCAAGGTGCTGCAGATCCGCTACGCCAGCGTGGAGCGCCTGCTGGAGAGGCTGATCGACCTGCGCTTCCTCTCCATCGACTTCCTCAATACTTTCCTCCACTCTTACCGGGTCTTCACCAGCGCCGACGTGGTGCTGGACAAGCTCATCACCATCTACAAGAAACCGATCAGCGCCATCCCCGCACGGTGAGGAGTGCCACTGAACTGAACCTTTTTAACCACAAAAGCTGAGAGAAGGTACCACAGACATACACGTGTCAAAGTCAAGGTCCCCGGCCCAAATGTGGCCTACCACAGCCTTTTATGTGGCCCGTAAGGGCTTCAAAGATGCATTAATGTCCTAAAATAAGAGTACGCTGCTTTACAAGCATGGGATTTGCCTGGTTAAATAACGGTAAATAAATAAATAACAATAGAGGGCATGGTTCAGCTAATAAGCTAACAGCTAATAGGGGCACTAACTTTAGCTTCTAGTAGGGGTGTAACGAGATCTCGTTGTACGAAATCTCGCGATATTAAACTCCTGCGATACCTGTCGTTGAGAGGTAACTGTTGTCTCGCTAACAGTGTTGCCAACTTAGCAACTTTGTCACTAGATCTAGCGACTTTTTAGACACCTCTAGCGACACGAGCAGCGAGCGGTGCGGCGAGCCCCCCCTCGTGAGCCCCTCCCCAAGCCCCTCCCCCTTCCTAAAGCTGATCTGATAAAATAATTACTTATTTTGTTTTTACTTATGTTGAATTTTTGGTCAGTTTAAATGCCATAGAATAAGTAAAGACACGCAAAGATCACAACGAAAAGGAATAATTACTTATTTTGTTTTATATTTATGTTCAGTTTTTGGAAAGTTCTGTGTGAATGTGTTTGACGCTCTTGATGTAAGTTAACAGTTAAATCAAACTTTTCTGGCTTTTTGTCACGTTGTCTTTCTGTTCTGCATATTTCCTTGAAGATGGTGGCTAAATGCTGCCTGTAGCTGATGAATTAAGTTTGAGTTTTTGTCTCGTTTCCACCTGCGGATGCAGCAGCAGCTCAGTAATGGTGCAGTGAAGAGGTGGGGGGACCCCACCCCACACACACACACAAACACACACCACCCCACAGTGTCTGAATGAGTCTTTGCTCTCACCTGGACCGTCTGTGAGCAGCCCAACATGCCTCTGTGTCCAGCTCAGGTGAGGAGGAGGCAGGGGCAGAGGTCACAGCCGCGTCGGTTGTTCCTCCGTCGTCACAGTCCTCCCCCCCCATCTTTCTCAATCCTCTCCATATTTTTTTCCCTCCACTCCCTTTCTTTTTATTTGTCTTTCCACGAGTCTGACCATCCCTCCCTCTCCGCTGCGCTGTCACCATGGCAACTCTTTACTCTGCTGCAGGA